TCGCCCCTGTACATACTAGACCACCATTTCGTGTTGCTTAAGTCACCATTTTCGATCCTTGAATGATCATTCTTAATTAATCCATGGAAAAAAAGGAGTTTAAAGGTAAACCAGCCATTTTTTCTGCAGATATGTTTCCATATATTTCCGATATGTTCCAGATTTTCCATATGTTTCCCATAGATTTCAGTTTTTTCCACATTTTTTCATCCTTTTTCCCACATTTTTCCATATTTTCTGTAGTTTTTCCCACATTTTTCCACATTTTCCATAGTTTTTCCCACATTTTTCGACATTTTCCGTAGTTTTTCCCACATTTTTCCACATTTTCCAGTTTTTCCCTATTTCTGCATGTCCATTGCCTGGATGAAACTGCTCTGGGCCCCGGTCCATCCACCCGGTGCCCGGCGGGGCATAGGCTACGCCGCGGTCACCGAAGAGGGATTTCCAGCGCTGCTCACCCTGGGGATGGAGAAAAGAGGGGGAAAACATCAATGGCCATGACTCAGGAACCGATTTATTGAAAATGGCCCAGTTGAAATAGTGGATTTACCCATTGAAAATGGTGGATCTTTCCATAGTTATGTTAGTTTACCATAGTTTCTGGATTTTTGAATATTAACATTATTCAATGGGAATCTCAGGATCCTAAATTGGAGGTACGTAAACGTACCATATTTTTGGCCATATAAATTCTGGGGATATCCCCTGAAAAATAGGCCTGAAAAATAGGCCTTATATATGCTATAGGTACCTCCAATTTTTAGGTTCCTGAAATGGCGATTGATTTATAGGAAGATACCCCCTGGTTATGACTAACAGTTCGCCATGCTTAAGCCATGGCCCATAGAAATAGATGGTTTACCTGGGTTTACCTATTAAAAATGGGCCATGGCTTCCATGGCGAACTGTTAAATAACCAGAGGGTAGCTATCCCAGATGCTCCATGTATGGAATATTGACCTACATTTGGGCAATTTTTGAGGTAAATGTAGGTAAATATCCCATACATGGAGCATCTGGCTATAGTAATGGGATAATGTAGGTATGGTCGTATGGTATGAAAATGTATGAAACAATACAGCAATTTCATTACTTTAACATCATTCAATATTATATATATATTATACCATTTTTTAGATAAAGAAGCATTGTCCATGGCATACCTATAATATCCTACAATGATGTTAGGATGTTAGCTGGTGCTGTTGGCAGTGACGATTTTCCACTGTAAATTAGATGAAGTACCTAGAAAAAATGGTGACTTTCGAAAGCAAAAGTGTAGGTTTCAGTCTCAGTCTGTAATAAATTTACAAAACATAGAACTGGCTTGGAGTCCTAGAGGCCAAGCCTTGCCACACAACCAATCAAGCTACAACAAATTCCACTAGACTATACCCATTGGCAGTGAAAATGTTGCAGTCAACTTGTGCTCTTTGGGTATCTCTGGGTCCTTGAACATTGCTCTCCATGAGGCTACCGAGCCGGTAGCTTGGATGGTCGTTCCACCGCTTCACTGGGTTTGACCATCACTGCGAATTGCCATCGTTTGCACAAGGAACCATACACAAGAAACACGCTTGCCATCGTGTTTCGGTACAAAGTGCTTTCAACTGACATATCAACATGACACCTGCAAGCAGTGCAACATAGTGCAACGACGCTCAAGATGCCAAACTGTTGAATATTGTTAAATTTTCTGAGGGCAAGTGATTTCATGAACCAAATAGCCAACTTGCTTCACCAGGCGAATTGAGTACAGTAGATGCCCTGCAAAATGATTGATCGATCTTTGTAAGTCAAGCTGTGTAGAACAACAGCAAAAAATGAGGTATCAAATATGATCAAACTATAGTCAGTTATATCAAGTTATATCAAGTTATATCAAGTTATATCAAGTTATATAGTTATAACTTGAGTTATATCTTTCATGTTTCACCATGTTTCACCAGGCCTGCGACTTCAGGCAAATCGGACTGCACGGATCCTGAAAAAGCGCTGAAGTGACACAGCTACCCGGCCTGGTAAAGCCATAGGAACATGGAAGTTTTAATGGGAAAACCATAGGAAAACCCTAGGAAAATGGGTGTTTACCCTCTGGTAACTAACATAGCTATGGAAAATGACCATAGAAATAGTTGATTTACCCATAAATCGCATGGTGATTTTCGATAGCAACATGTTAAATTACCAGAGGTTATGTGTGTGCGTGACTCAAGCCCAAGTCGCTTACTATAGTTAGTTTTTAGTGTAAAGTATATATATATATAATATGATTTATATGGCTATGGGTCAAAACACTGGCACCCTAGGTACCCTAGGTACCCTAGGTACCCTAGGTACCCTAAAATAGTTGCTTCATGGATGGTTACTCCCCACAAACATGGTAATTTCATAGGTTTTGACCCATACCCATATATGAATATCTATGGATTATGACGACAATGTAGGTGAGCTCCTGCGATCACTGATCGCCCACCCACAGCTTGCTATATCCAAGGGCTTCATTTGGGTTTGTCTGACAGGGTACCTCAAAAAAAAGCTTTGGCTGATCATCATTTTCCCTATATTCCCGAAAAAAAAACGGCTATTTGAAGGGTATACCCGGTATGCCCATTTTCAGACACCCCTTCATTTTCTTGTGCACTAAGTTACTGACTCATGTGGAACTGAGCCATAAAAAACTCCCAGTGCATCCACTAGGACCGGTGGGATGAAAGTCTATGGAACATTCATTGGGTTGGTTTAAGGGAAAATCTACAGGAAACCATGGTTTTTACCATCAAATATAGGGTTTTCCTGTAAATTTTCCCATCATCCAATTCTATGAAACATGGCACATTTAGATTCATGAACTTCGATGGTTTTACCATTATTTACTGGTTGGTGGTTGAGCCAACCCCTCTGAAAAATGATGGAGTTCGTCAGTTGGGATGATGACATTCCCAATATATGGAAAAACAAAACATGTTCCAAACCACCAACCAGTCTACCTATATTTTCCTATATTTTCCTATATTTTCCTATATTTATTATATATATATATATTACTTATATATTACCTACTATTAAACATGATATTGTTCCGTGGCAAACTCTGTAACCAATACAGGCCATAGCGGCCAGCCCAGCCGACCAGCCGATCCACGGCGTCTTCGTCCTTCCGCTGGTCTCTTTTCTGCATGATCCATGCTTGGCCCGGTGTTGAGGCCTCAAGGGAATGGCGAGGCTGACCTCAATGATCAGTCAATGGGAATTTCAGGATCCTAAGATGGAGGTACCTACCATATATAAGGCCTACGTAAGGGGATATCCCCAGAAAATATGGCCTTATATGGTACAGTACCTCCAATTTAGGTTCCTGGAATGGCCATTGAATCAATGAAGAGATCATGTTAGTGTTGACTATGACTGGTTGGTGGTGCAATAACCATCTTGAAAAATATGAAAGTCCATGGGAAAGATTATTCCCATATATTATGGAAAGTAACAAATGTTCCAAACCACCAACTAGTGATGTTAATGTTGACAATACTGGGCGGACGTTGTTTCTTACCCCAGGCACCCACAAGTTACCCCATCCCAATGGCACACAGGGTTACCCCAGGCCAATAGTCATTAAGAAACATATGATCAACATTAATATTATCAATGATTGCTGACTATTGATCCTCGACAATAATCACATTGACTAAACATGAACCTCACTTAAACATTACGAATGATCTTAAATAGAAGTTACCAACAAGAACTAACGATAATTCAACTCTGGGCTAATGTAGATGGAATAATTAATAATGGGCCTATCATAGTAAATGGGCTTCCGAAATCACTTGATTCCCCAAGAATTGATAATTGTAGTAAAAATTGGCTAATGTAGATTAATCCACAATAAACAAAATCTATGTGGCCCTTTGTAGAATAATGGGTAATTGTAGATATTTGGCTGGATTTATTTCTAGTTTAAAGCAGAACAAAAAAAAATCTAGATGTTTTATCCCAGACCTATGATAGATTGTTTTCGTTCGGAGGGCTCACTGCCCAAAATACACAACGGGTGGCACCTGGCTCTCCTCGAATAGACTGTTCTCCTTGCGACACGGTGAACATACCTACAATAACTAGGGCTCTTAATGGGGGATATAACTACAGAATACTACAGATATGACTTGATATAACTATAGAGGATGAATAGGATGAATAATTATGAACATATTGAAAAACAGAGAATACATATAAAATCCAAGTGGGATTTATCTGGCAATGGGAGATAGAATCTGGATCTGTATCAAAATGGGTGGCAGAAAACCAGGATGGCTGTTATGGTTGAGCCAACCTCTGAGCAATCTGAGCGTCCAGAAAAGCTGGTGATTTTATTGGGTTAGTGACCAACAAGAACCGTGGGTTACAATTGAACAGTAAGCAACAACTTCTTTTTACTCAACCATTGAACAAAAATAATGCAATACCGTATTTGTTGCTTTGTGTTTGTTCTTTTACCATTGACCACAAAACGAAGTTGAAACCGATCATGTCTAGAATGGTTTGATGGTGTGACACCAGCGCGCTCTTTTCTGAGCAACAATATCACACCAGCTAGTCAAACGGTACACAAGGGAAAAGAATGTCGGAAAGCGATTACTGGTTGGTGGTATACCTACCCCTCTGACAAATATGAGTTCGTCAGCTGGGATGATGACATTCCCAACTGAATGGAAAGTCATAAAATTCATGTTCCAAACCACCCAGACTATCCTGAACATGTTTGGAAGGATGGAGGTTGAAGGTATCAAAGTGGGGAAATCCAACACAGTTGGACGGATTTTTTCACCCATCTTTCAAGAGGAAACCAATGGCACAAATCCTTATGGAAATCTTGATGGAATCCAACTATGGCCAAGAATCAAATTCTAATGATTTCACAACCAGCCAAATTTGGTTACTAGAGATATGCGTCAGGGATAGGATCCGTTCTGACCCCCAAAAAACACCTGTTCTTGTTTCTGCCACAGAGGTCATCGTATGGTTTTCCTGAAGCGAAGCCAGATCGTCATTGCTGGGATGCTATGTACAACTGCTGATGGGTCCGAACTTTGGCCAAAGACTGCTCCAAATGACCAAAGTCTCAAAAATAGGCTGCCCCATACCCCAGAAAAAAATATGATTTATCATATTTTATCATTCTTCCATGTCGCCTTTCACAACACAGGCAGAATTCCAGGACCATCCTCAAATGATCGTCCCTTAAATTGGTCACAATGCTCCAGCGGCTTTCAATTTCTCTAAAAGTTCACCGTCTTCTTGCAACGGTACCAAGCCTGGAGTGCCACCTCAGCTGTTTGTAACGCTGGCAGTGGCTGCCCTGGTTGCGAACTGGTGACCTACTTTGTTAAAGGCGATTCCAATCATGGATTGGTAGCTCTTCCCTTTAATAGGTCAGTAGAACCTCACTATCAACAACAAAATCTTGTTGGGGAATCGACACTGTCCCACGAAATATTGTTGCTTGAGAGGGATTCTAAACCATGGATTGTGATAATCCCCAATAATATATATATATATATATATTTATGATATATTATACGTGTATGGGATATATATATATATATGGGTAGTAGAATGACAGAAAACCTTGGACTTAATTATCAACCAACAAAGGTTAAGTGGAGGCCGGCTCATAGGATTTTCAGCCAGAATTCCACAGCATTTCCAGGCTATTTTCTGTGGTTTTCCACCAAAAAAAATCCAGATTTCCACTTGCTTTACTGGTTGTTGGTTTTTCGCTTACCCCGTCCTGAAAAATGATGGAGTGAAAGTCAGTTGGGATGATGACATTCCCAATATATGGAAAAATAAAAAATGTTCCAAACCACCAACCAGTTTAGTTTACCGTGGAGTAAGCCATGAACCATCACAATTTTATACACCAATTTCTAAGTTTCTATGCATTTTCTCCAAAACAATTCATAAGTTGAATTTGTTTCCAGCAACAAACACAACCGACTACACATCATACATTGATGTGTATATATATATAATATACATGTTTTGTTTTCCGGCGTACCTATCAAGAAACCCTGTGGTCCTCATAAATAAATTGCTCCATAAATCCTAAGTTTGGACAAGTTTGGCTGTAACCCCGATCAATTGCATATATATATAATATATATATAATATAATAAATGAATCATATCTTGATATATCTACTTTTTATGTTCAGCACAAACCCTAGTTGTCGGAGTTATTTGCGGTCCAACGTTGGCGAATCCTTAAACTGGCGCCCCAAGCAGCGGTCACAACTTGGCTGGGCGGCTGAAAAGTCCTCCCACACTCTGTCCACCAATGAAAATGTGGGGCCTTGCGGAGCTGCTGAAAAGTACAAAAAACTGAAGATTGGCCCAAGAGAAAAAGGATGGATTCAATGGTGGGCCAATCAAACATAATCAAACCATTCATGTCTTTATGTTCCTGATTTTTTTCTCCGATTTGTGAATGTTTTCAATTTATGGTTGATTTACGAACAAACATTGATAAACATGGTGGAGCGCAATCCATTATTAATGGGGATATTGTGGAATATATATATATATGAATATATAGCAAACAACAATCTGATCTTTTGAAAAATATAGAACAATTATCTACATAGATAGAACAGTTGGAAACATCGGACATATTTCGGACAACATCATCTATATCATCCTGAACAAATGGTTCTATCTTTTTGGTGACCCCTATAGTCCCAAAATCGGTCAAACAATTGGGTATATTCTGCTTTATGCAAATTTGATCCAATTTGCGTTTTTTAAGAAGAACAACTATGATAAATTGACCATTGAAACATGGGGGTATCCTATTCTCAAAGAACACCCCGCCCCCGGCGGTCGCCACCAGCAGGGACAGATTTTCCACCAGCCGCCAAATGGGGATCGAACATGGCTGGAAAATCCACGATTTCGTTCGTTGGTTTTTCGATGAACAAAAACACCGTTAAGGGAAGGGATGTTTAAACCATCCCCATTAAATCACCATTAAATCGCCATTTTCCTATGGTTTTCCTATGATTTAATGAGCAAGCCATTTTTGATTACCAGAGGGCACATGTTAGATAAATCATCCCAGTCCTGTGAAGGTCATCAAATATCCTAACCATGGCTGCTTTGGTCCGTGAAATCTCAGTGTTGCTTAGTGATTTTTTTCGTTTTTGTGGTTGGTAATTCCCTGTTGTTTGGTTAAAAACACCATTGTTGAACACACCTACTCATGCTGAGAACATCATCAATTCTTTTTGGTTAGCACACAACATTTTATAAATTATTGCATCCATGTTATTTCTTGCTTTAATCCGCTTGCTTGTCGATTCTCCCTAACGCAACTTGCCAAGGCTTCTATTGAGGTCGGCTTCTATTCCGGTTGTTGTGGCCAATTTTTGTTAGTGCAATCCTCATTTGGGACTGTGAAACAAAAGGCTGCCCCTAATTTCAATGGTTTATCATGACTGTACATTTTACCCTCTGGTAAACATACAAAAAACTATGGAAAATCACCATTTTAGATAGGTAAATCATGGTAAATCAAACATATATATATATATATACATATACCCTCTGGTAAGCTAACTAATTTTGCGAACTGGAACATCACCATGCTATTTTTTTTGGTAAATCAACGAACTAAATAGCCATTTTCAATAGCTTTTTGTATGGTTACCAGAGGGTAGCTAAAAACCCATGGGACGATCGAGCCATGAATAAGCCAACAAAAAACCAGAGAAACTACTGATATTTTCAGAACATGAACTATCAACAAAGACCTATTTGATGTGGAGATTTGGGGGCCCCCCTATTTTTTTTATTTGGGCCCTGAAAAAAAGACGGTGAAGCAACAGCCCTAATTTTTGCTCGCCACCTCCGAGTGGTTCACCGAGTGGCATGGAGGTCTGCCCCGTCATCTTCCCGAGAACGGCTCGCACAGCAGCACCCTCATCATCCAGCAGACCAGGGAGCCACTCGGGGCCCAAAATGATCTCGGTGTACCTGAATTTGGATGTAAGCATAACTTGCTTAACTATTTTTTTGATGGAGGACATAATATATTATATATCCTCCATAGAGATAGAAATATATATATATATATTCTCGAACTATCTCTAACTATGGTTTATGGATGTTTTACAATGTAATTTGGATGACTATCCAGGCTTCGAGCTGGTTGCGAAAAAATAGGTAAACTATACAGAACACAACAATGAATAGGTGACACTGATTGGTGTCAAGGATTTAATCTTGAACTTTAACTAACATGATATCGACCAGCTACATTGCTACATACACATGGAATGTATATGAATGTATACTACCGATTCATCCAAGTATTGATTACACATAATCCCTTCCTTCTAATATTAAACACCCCCAGGAAAAACATGTTTTTTTTTCCAGTGAAATCGTGCTGGGCCCATGAAAAATGGGATGTCAAGGCCTTGACCCAGTTGAAACTGGATCGGCCCAGCCATGCCCAGCCCAAATAGAGAGCGTGGTTCGCAAGCACAAGAAAAGGAGCCATGTAACCTACTGTAAAGGCACGACAGAAAAAAACAAAACATGAGTTTGGAACTTGCTTGAAATCAGAACTGATGAGTTTGGTTCTCCACATTTCTCCACCATCTGTCAATAGGATGTACAACACCGTTGGGAAGTTGTAGGTTTACCAGGGATACAAACCATTCACTATGTGGCATTTACCTCATCCAAAAAGGATCAAAACAAACTGCGCCATGGCGCCTGGGACCAGTGACATAATGGTCTAGCTAGTGACATGCCTAAACCAAGCAGCTATGCTTTCCACATAGATCCGATTTTTGCATATTTTTGCTACCTGTCATCCCAAATTCTTCCCAACATGTTTAGAGACGTGTAGACCACTACATGTTTCAACCGAAGCAATGAGTTTACAACCCTCTGGAACGAGCAATCAACAACGGGGCTCTTGAATATTCTGTACAGATCTGTACAGATCTGTACAGAATGAGTTACCCAGTGGCTGGAACAGCACACTTTTGACACCTTTTCGGTATCTTTCACCAGAATGACTGGATATAAACCACTGGTTTCCTATAGCAAAGCCCCCAAAAATGGTGCGCAACCAAACACACAAAACACACTGGGCAAAGCGGGTGAGCAATGACATGCAATGATATGCATTGATGGTCATGGACCGTGAAAGACCATGAAAGACCATGAAAGACCATTATCAGGGGATTGCCCCCAGTGTCACTTGAGGAATGTGGGTACCATGTAGTTCCGGTGTTAATGATCCTTCTGCCAAAAAATGAGGCTAGACTTGGCATTTTTGTGAACTTCGTTGCTCATTTCAGCGACAAAATCTGGTCCCTGAACTAACATATAATTGTATAATATATATATATATATACATATCTGGTTGGTGGTATACCTACCCCTCTGAAAAATATGAAAGTCACTTGGGATGATTATTCCCATTATATGGAAAAATAAAAACCATGTTCCAAACCACCAACCAGATATGGTTGAGGTTCCCAGCAGGTCACTCTTCAATCAATGGATTGACATTCCCCGCTTTGGTAGGTCTTCATCCCCAATTCTACTACCAATAACCAGGATGGCCGCATCCCTGACAGTGTTGGCCAGCTCAACTGATCAGCCCAAAGACTTTGCACCCAACGAATCCAAGAACTCCTGGGGCGCAACTGCCATGACAATCTTCTGGTTGACCATCCCAAAAATGCCAGGGGACCTTCGGTGTTTCGTTTGATTTTTTCAATAAACATCAACTCTAGATTGTGATTCAAGTGATTCAACCAACAATCATTGAACACTTAGCCAACCACCAACAAGATATCATGGAACCACTGTAAAACCCCAAATAAAAACCCACTGGAAGGCCCTGGAAGCTCGTTTCCCTCCAGCTGTTCTGGTGGAAACTTGGAGCTTTGTCAAAGCTATGATCCACAACTTGGGACGGGGGGGTGCATCCCATTGAGTAAGTTACAATCCACATGCAATTGGGGTATATCCTATGATTATATACATTATTTCATGATATATATATATAGTTGTATATATATATATAGCCATATATATATTTAGCTATATATATATATGTAGTTATATATATATATAGGATTTTATACGTACAATTATGTATATAACTGGGTGATAGCATTGTTATTTACCCCTTGCTAACTGGGATGCACATCCAAGTTGGGGCAACTGTAGTTGCAGGACCTGAAATGGCTATCTTTATTGATTTTCTCTGGCAGAAAACTATGAACCTATAAATCGTGTATAATTAGAATCATCAATATTCTCAAACGCTCCACCTGTTTGATATCCCTGAAACGTCCCTTTTTGAAGCTGGTGTTTTTTCCCTTTGAAACCTTTCGAAACCAGCTTCTACAGTCCTTCGCTTGGGAGCAGAAGGGCGACAGGCTGTAGGAATAGATCACCACTGGACTGCCCGTCACCTCCCGTTGGATTCGCTGCCGCACGGCTGTCTGGTCATAGCTGCCGGCTTGAAGAGGTGCTTCGATCCTGTGGAGGCTTCAGTTGCACAGAGGGTTCTGCATCTCAAATCCACTGAATCACGTTATATTATATCCCAATTTATGTTATTTTATGTTCCCATGAGCAACCTACTAAACCATATTAAACCTATAATCCAAAGTTGATTTCAAAAAAAAAACATGGCTTTTTGCCCCCAAGTTCATCAAGTTTCTGGTAGATCGGTTTCAACACGGCCGTCGCCAGGCCGCTCAGTGCCCTCAACGTCCCCGAAGGCATGACCACGTCCGGCTCTGCGGACGCTGCAGATGCCGTGGCCAGGACGGGAAATACCTTGGTCTTGGGCCCCTGGGCGCTGGAAGATTTCAGTGATGTTACCTCCGGCAATTGGAAATGGTCTATCTATACATGATGATTTCAATATGAAGATGTGTTTTTTACAGCTGTGCTATAAAATAACAGAGGGTCAAACGGTCAAACATGTCTTTTGATGAAAATGTCGTGAAATCCCTATTGTTTTTGCCGGTTCAACCGCGTTCAATCCCATGGTGTTTGAATCTACAATCGTTACTCGAAAAAACCTCCGTTTGCTGCAGGGTCATGGCAACATATGGCAACATCACCACCGATGCGAACTTGTTTTAACATTTTTACAGGGCAAATGGAATCTATTTGTTTTTTTTTTTCATGGGAATCATTGTCTGCCATCTCACCTTTAAAGGGCTTGGCAAAAACCTTAAAACATGCTTCGTGGGCACTATGTTCATCGCTTGGAATCTGCGGTTAACACCCATGAACCTGTGGCCACATGATCTGATATGATCTGACATGTAATTATATGTGCTGTAGAAAAGCAGAAAACCAAATTTGGGAGGGTCAGAAATATGGCAAACATACTCTTCTTCCTGCAATTTCTCTGAATCCTAGACATGCACGCTCTCAACCCATTATTTCCTCCATTAAAATAAGTTATTTTTGTGACTCTTGTCTCCGACTGCTGAATCGAATCTCCAATCGGGACACCAGGGCAAAGTTTCGCCGTGAACATTGAGGCACTGAACTCGGCAGTGCTTTCCTGCTGGATTTCAAAAGAATCCACAGAAATGGATCCAAAACTGTCTAAATCTCCAAAATGAGTGGCTTCAAATGGATTCCATTCCAGCGATTGACATCATATCATCCAGTATAAAACACATCCTAAACCCATCCCCACATTCAAAAACTCCCACTGCATGAGATGCACCTAGGAGGTGCTATGGAGAATGAGATCAAACTCTGTTCCAAAAAGGAGAGAGGCACCTGAAAAGTACAAGCAAGTCGTTAATACATGTTAATCAACATCATGTAACCCATTCTTATATTCTGTAGGATCTATAGGTTATATACCACAGATTTATGTTTATGTTTTTTACAATAGTATCTCTAGGTTGTAGCCCAGTGATGTAATGTGGTAAACCCAACAAACAACATTTGCAGTTCAGGTTTATGAGATTGGGTATACTCCTGTTGGGGATTACGTCTATCATGATCCCCAGTCATGGTTTGTTGATGGGATGATGACTATGACATAATCCGATGCTATCCGATTCAAGGGTTGCAGCCCCAAGTTAGACGGGTTTGCCTGAAAAATACAAGGGATACTCCCCAGTTATGACTATATTCTAGTAATTTAACGGGGACTGATGAGACAACCATACTGATTAAACATCAAATTTGCTGCTGTGATGTTAGAAAGCAACGTCATAAAATGTCATAAACAGTCATAAACCAGCCATATGGATCTATCTATCTATCTATCTATCTAATCTAATCTAATCTAATCTAATCTAATCTATCTATCTATCTAATCTATCTAATCTATCTGATCTATCTAATCTATCTAATCTATCTAACCTATCTAATCTATCTAATCTATCTAATCTATCTAATCTATCTAATCTATCTAATCTATCTAATCTATCTAATCTATCTAATCTATCTAATCTATCTAATCTATCTAATCTATCTAATCTATCTAATCTATCTAATCTATCTATTCTATCTAATCTATCTATTCTATCTAATCTATCTAATCTATCTAATCTATCTAATCTATCTAATCTATCTAATCTATCTAATCTATCTAATCTATCTAATCTGTCTAATCTGTCTAATCTGTCTAATCTATCTAATCTATCTAATCTATCTAATCTATCTAATCTATCTAATCTATCTAATCTATCTATCTATCTAATCTATCTATCTATCTATCTAATCTATCTAATCTATCTAATCTATCTATCTATCTATCTATCTATCTATCTAATCTATCTAATCTATCTAATCTATCTAATCTATCTAATCTATCTATCTATCTAATCTATCTAATCTATCTTATCTATCTATCTATCTATCTATCTATCTATCTATCTATCTATCTATCTATCTATCTATCTATCTATCTATCTATCTATCTCTACACATATATATATATATATATATTATAATATATATATATATATATATATTATAAATTGTATATATATATATTATGATATATATATATATATATTATAATATGTATATATATATATAAATTCTCCCACGCAACAAAAATGGTAAGTCATTGGGGATGGTCCTATTGCTGTGCTGCCATTCCCCGAAGCCACACCTCACGTCCGGCTTCATCGTCATCCAGGCTCTTCCCGCCAGCACTGCCGCTATCGCCCAACATGTCCGCAGCGTCCGCTGCGTGGCGCGCCGGGTCGAAATCGCCATGGCTCCAGAGAGCTGGGTGCAGTTTAGGGGATATAATAGTTAGTATTTACCATGGATAATATATGGTTAATATATAGTCATTATATGGTTAATGATGGTTGATAATAATCTGGTTGGTGGTTGACCTACCCCTCTGAAAAATGATGGAGTTCGTCAATGGGAAGGATTATATATCCCATATATGAAATGGAAAATAACAAGCCATGTTTGAAACCACCTTCAAGAGTGGAATTTGAATGGAGGAACTGATGATTCTCATAAATATAATCCTTGATGATCGATGATTTGAATAAATTTGAACCTGGAAAAATGATGGAATATGATGATTTCCTCAAAACAGGGGTTAGAATGAAGTGCGAACATTTGCTGGTCTTCAAGTCAAGCGCGTCATCCTGTCTGATCCATGTTTGGGCAAGTGCTTGGTGACCATCACTACTAATTCATTAAAATATGTGACTGAACACGATATTATTGATACATATACATATATGTAAGTTATTATATTATAATTGAACAAAATACAACGACATATATAATCAATTGCAACATGGTGATACGGTATGTGATAATATGATGTGTATATATATATACATAATATATATATATATATTATTGAATCATATCACTTATTCACTATGATATACAATCAATTGAACAATCACTCCTTACAACTGGACGCTCATGTCGCGAAGGGAAGATGGTTGCGTTATGTCATCCCCAGATGTCTATTCTCGGGGTATCATTTAAGTAGTAAATCACAAATCATCACTATTTGGAAGGAACCACCCCAATTGATCAACGAGGGGTTCTTGATCCGGGGACATGAATGACTATAGTTCAAGAAGTTTAATTCAAAGTATGTAGGGATACTACTGTAGACACCATTCCCAAACAACAACGCTTGGGATCATAATCCCAGGTACCTCGCGGAAAGTCCAAGTCACTTTCAAATGAATCCACAGAAGATTTCAACCCAGCTACAATGATTCTTGTTCTTCATGCTGATTTTGCTGATATATATATATTTTTTGATAGTTCAACATAATTCAACCATTCGTTTGCCCAGAAAAATAGTTCGACCTTTGTTTTTACAGTAGAACTGCCTCAAAATCGTCCTTGAATCCCATGGAATCAGGAATTGGCTCCTGTGAACCGACAGCTTTGGCTGATCCCGAGCTGATGCTCGACTGGTCGTGCAATGTCTTTGCCTCGGCTTCGGCGTCTCGCCATGAAAGAAATGCTGATTTCATAGGGGAAAATGATGATTTCATGGGATGTTTCAGAGAAATTCATAGAACATGTCCATATTACATAGATATTTCATGATATTTCATGATGGCTACTTGGTGGCTCATCCCACGAATCGTAAGTGGGTTATAACCCCAGTTATAAGTGGATTAACCCTACTTATCCCATTTATAACTGGGGTTATAACCCACTTACGATTCGTGGGTAGTTCGCCACCAAGTATGGATGTTACCCTCGGCAACAAATTCTTTCGTTCACTTTGGGGTTCTCCAGTTTTTGATACCCTCTGGTAATTTAACATAACTATGGAAAATCACATTTTTTCATGGGAAAATCCACTATTTCAATGGCCATTTTCAATAGCTATGTAACAAATTACCAGAGGGTACCCTCTGGTAAATAAACATAGACCCTGAAAATCACCAATTGTTAGAGGAAACTAATCTTCCAACCCCAACAACTACCAGGGTCTATGTTAATTTACCAGAGGGTAGGTGAATCAGTTATCAATGGGTCATGGCCGGTCATGGCTTCAGCGATTTCCGTGGTGTCCTGGTGCTCCTGGTGAGTTGAACAGAACTTCGCCTCAACCTTCGTGAGTTTCGCCGGGTTACATCAATATCTCCATTACCCTCAATAGCCTCTGGTAAACCCATAGGAAAATGGAGGCTTTAATGGGAAAACCATAGGAAAACCCTGGGAAAATGGATGTTTACCCTCTGGTAAACATACAAAAAACTATTGAACATGGCCATAGAAATAGTTTACCCATTAAACATGGTGATTTTCAATAGTTGTTTGTATGTTTACCAGAGGGTATTTCTTCATCATTCACCCAAGTTCTGGTCGTGATTTGCTTCACACCCCAGCTTTTGTCACCAAGGTCCAAACCAACCATTGGTGAACCTGTGCATTTTGTGCCTGCGGACATTTCCAAGGGAAGGAGAGCTAAAACTGCGAAGAACTTTTTTTGGGGGCTCCCAATTTAATTGGTCAAGAAGTAGCGAACTGGAGAATCACCATTTTTAATAGGTGAACCATCAAAAAATATCTATTTCTATGGACCATTTTCCATGGCTATGTTAAATAACCAGAGGGCATAGTCATTAAAAATATCTTTTATCCACACCTGATTTCTGATCGACATCCTGGATACTCCCCAAATGCTATATGCCCCCAAGTGATTGTGATTTTCACCTCCCGGTGCTTTGACCATAGAACACCCTGATGTTCAATGGTACATGTAAACGTGTACCGTAGGGTGATTCACAATTAAATCCCATCAAATCCCATTAATTGCTAGGGCTGAATCGTGCTATTTTCATGGTCAACTCCCCCAATTCAGAATCGCTGATCCTCTTCCAGCTCGAATGCATCCTGTACCTGGCACGCGAGTTCTGAAACCGCCAGAAATGGGGAGGTTTTTTCATGGAGATGATCATAGAAATTCCCTAATTGATGTTACCCAAAAACAATTGGAAATCCGGAATTTCATGGAATGTCATAGTTCTTTAATGGAGATGATCATCGTGTGTTTCCCCATGGAGTACCCTATTTAAACAACTGGAAATTCAGAAATTTCCCATGGGGAATTTCGATGGATTTTTTGCATGCTAGTTTGAGCACTTCTTTCGAGGATTTGTTGAGGATTTGCCTACACGTTACGTAGGTTTAGTCATCCATAAATTTGACAAATGCTACTGTAGTTGCTGGGTAAATTTTGATCCAAGTGTGATCACTGATAAAGATTGATAAAGCAGTTGGGGATTGAAACAAGGGGATATAAGAACCTTTGAACCTTTGCTACATTTGCTTGAGAAAACGGTTTCAGATCCCATTGTGAATATGACAATCAAACAAAAGTAGGCTTTTCTGACACAAAATCTCTGGACATGTTTCTTCAGAAATACGCATCACCTATATATGTTTGATATGGCCAAAGTCTTTGGGTTTTAAGCAAGATTTAGATCAGCTGGTGTAGGTTAGGGTTGCATTCAACTGTGCCTTTACATATGTGAAACTCATATATGAAACCAGCCTTTGCTATCCACGGATCGTTGGCCCGCCCAAAGATGATGATTTAGCTGTTAAAGCTATGGTGATGCAGGTGACAATAGGACAAACACCTAAAAAACTGTGCAACTGCACAGTCGGTTTTCCGCACATTTCACCATCTCCCCTGCAGTTGTCGAACCGTGAAGCTCAGCTACTGGGTCCCGACTTTGTAAAGAGAAAACTGATAGCCTCATGAAAACCAAACTGATTGACATGGACATTATTTTTCGCTGAACTTTCCATGTACTTGTATCATCTCTGTGATGGTGGAGAATTGGAGTGGTTCCTAAAATGGCGGATCCCCAAAACCATGGGTTTCTAAAATGGTCTAATTTGGGATGATTTGGGGGTAGAAACATTTTCGGAAACCTCCATGTATCAACTATTTGTGGGGAATATATCTAGTAGATCTTCCTCGCTTACTTGCATCATACACTTGCCTGAGTCCACTAGTCACTCCGTCTTAAGACACGTTACACACCCTAAAAAACACCAAACTGCAAGCTCATTTACTGGTAGCACAGAATAAAAGTTGGTCACGGTGGTCAAAAATAACAACCTCACAAAAACATACAAAACCCAACAAAATTCATGACATTTCCCTTTGGGTCTGGTCTTAACCTTTTCTTTCCACAATTCTCAAAAAATGGCCCAAGAAATCTGCTGAAACAGGTTGGATGTCGTTTTTTGCCGAAATACAAGAAACACTTAGTAGCGATTTCTATGTGTTCCTGACATCTCTCAACTGTATCCCAAAACAAAAATGCTTTCCCAACCCGAAATCACTTTTTGGCTCAGCCAGCTGGGTGGCGCCTCCTTCTCCTGCGCTGCTTTCAATGCCTGCGTGTCATCTTTCGGGCTTTTTGTTGGGCTAGTGGCTGAACCACTGAATCACCAATCCTCCAAATATTTGGTAATGTTTGTTAAACAAATCTTACCAATCACCAGCTCGTTTTCCCCACCTGGCATCAAACAGGGCACAAGGATGTTAACATAAAGCAACAGGGAACTCAATTGCTACATCATCTGTATCATAGCTATACATGGACTTTTTTTAGTTCACAGTCTAAGGATATTCATCAGGACGTACAAAATCTCAGTCCAAGGACTTCCAGGGAATTCTGCAGTGAATATACCGATATTGATTTAACGATATTTAAAGAATAAAAACTACAAGAAAATCATAACAAAAAGAAACTCATGTGGTTCAAACAAGGATAAACCACGCCCCAAAGCACCATAAATAGGTGGTATAAACATGTATAAACCATCAAAAATGGGGTGGTTTATCATTGTTTTACCCTCATTACTATACTTGTAATACTATATAATCATCATAACTAATACTCTCTGGTAACCAAACATGGTTTGCTGGAAAATCCACCATTTGGTTTGATGATTTTCCCGTCTACAGACCTCCATGGCTAGTTGCTTTGGTCGCCTCCATGGAGCCCACTTCCGTGGATGCCGATGCATGCGTCTCTTTGAGAGTGGCATCCGCTTCATGTAAGGAGGCCTCGTTGGGGGGCGGGAGAAATGGCCCCATGAGCAAATGAAAACCATTGCGACAACTTCATAGATCATATATCTTTCATGGGTATACGGGTATACTCATATGTATATCTATATAGATACACGTAATCATACATATATATATATATATATATATTGTATAATTATATGTGTATAATTATATTATAGTTATAACCATACCTTACCA